ACAACAGTGTGCGTCGGTGGCGCAGCGGTTAGGACACTCGCCGACCATGCACATGGTCCGGCATTCAATCCTCGGCCACAGACGCACTCCTTTACGTCGCTAAGCCAGAATTAATGCTGGTAAAGTGGAAAGGTTGGGTATCAGGCTAGCAACCCCATCCTGTAAAAATAAACACTGCTACAGAAACTTCAAGCCACTAGCTTGAGGCCCTATGTTCCACTGGGGGACGTGAAGGAAAAAAAAGAACAACAGTGATTTGTGCAGAATACCATGGTACCATCATTTATTTTCCTGGCTTCTCATCACCTCATAATTTATTTAGGCTGTAAGCAGCTGCGCTGATGAGAAGCCAACGAAATAAGCAATGATGGTACCATATTATTCTGCACAAACCACTGTTGGTTTTGCACTAGTCACCAAAAGTAATTCATCTTCACAGCTGCCTTCAGTGACTCGATGCTGAAGATATGATGGCCGGTAAGAAATGATGAGCAAGAAGGAATTCTGATAGGCGACGAATCAATCAGGAGCCTATTGCCTAAATAATATGCAGAAGGAAGTGGAGATAGACTGGGCACACACTGAAGCGACCGTTGAGTGGCGTCATACACCTATCAAACACGCGAGTGTAGTGCGAACGAGAAAAGATGATATCATTCGCAAGAGTTATATTATCGGAGAGAAGGTAAACCATTGATCCAAAATGAAACAGGCGTTAAATAAATACATACATAACTTTTGAAAGTCTTTCAGACTCAAACCGCTTGTTCACTGGGAATTGGACTTCCTGGTGAAACCAGTAATGCATACTCTAATTATTAATTTCTGTTGTAACTGCTTTTGCTCCACATGTATTCTATGCCAGTCAAATCAATGTATTCTCAACTGGTTACTTGGTGATGTACACTATGCTGTGTTAATTCAAACAATATTCTACAGTGAAATCACACTTCCAGTGGTAACTCGTTGTGAAGTCTAGGACACATATTTGAGACTCGTCAGATTAAAGTACCCTCACTTTCAAGTTAGTTATGGTGTTCCCATCGACAATTCAACACAGCACTGGTCATTTCCAACAACAAAGCATTCCACACTTAACTGAATAGCGAAGAAATCCACATATTGTGATGCAATAAGTCAATAATCACAGTGATATCAAGGAATGCATTCAAACAGATCACATACTCAACGTGGGCGTATCGATTCAGTCGAGAAGAATGAAGGAGTAACCACAAGCAGAAATGCAGAAATTATATGTAATATTCTGCCTTATTTCACTCAACTCTGTTCGCACAGTCTATGTCCAATCCATATTCATCTATGACTGCATATTTGTTAGGTAATGGATTCTAGAATGTTTCGTCGGCTATCAGAGTTCCTTCTCTCTCAACATCATTTCTGGCTAGCCATCAGATCATCTGAATCTACACAGAGAGTAAGAGTGTTGATAAGACGGTACAATTGCCTGTTAGAAATGCTTTTCTGCGTGACACGAGAGCTAAGTCTATGAACAATGTAGATGAAATCAACTGACATCAATATTGAAAATCCGAAACTCCATACAGTTGCTGAGTGCTGTAGATTTTCACAGTGACGTCAAACTGATGAATGTCTGTGCTGCTCATCCAATTCTGACTGGCATTAACATTCTCATCTGTGCCAGCTGACTGCAGTTGAAAAGATGCTGCCTAGGAAAGATAAGTGATTGGCTAGAACTGAGCTTCCAGTCAGTGCATCACATGGTTCAACTTGTAGATTAAAACATGTTTAAAACTCTGGAAGTTTTCTCTCTTCTCTCCTAGCTATTGTTTGTGGTGTTGTGGAATTTTTCAGATGTCCAACTAGACAGGTGTTGAATCATCCCTGTTACACGTATTTGCAGTTGATTCGAGAAACAAAGCCTCTATCAGTCATCAATCTTTCTCTCTCTCCACCTGGCTGTTACATTAGATTTTGAAACTGACATCTTATTCCATCCGTCCTATTGTATGATTGTGTGTAATTGCATGTAGTGAGTGCTATAGCTGAACTATTCTCTAGATTTCTTATCTTATTCGTGCCAACTAATCTAGATTTCGCTGATAGGTGTTTATGCTCGGCTAGTCTCACTCACTGAGCCTGTTCCGCTACTATTTCGACGTGTATATTTGACCTGACAATCAGCGCACGCAGGGTATTAGATAAACTGAATTGTTTTGTTAAGTGGCTCCACAGGATTGTTCCTTTAACCGACAAGTCTTGTTTCGAAATGAGTTTGTAGGTGGTTTCAATCCTAGACATTTTCATTCCTGCCTTGTTGATAATTCTGTGTAAGGTTTACTAGGTTCCGTCCTTGCATTGTAATACTACTGATGACTTAGATTCCTCATCCTTCGTGTTGTCACTATCTTCTGCATGTTTGACATGTATATCATCATTAATATTGTTATCATCACGGTCACTGCTATTATTATTTATTTTATTTTTACATTTCCCTAGATACCTCTGAATAATTTATCAGGGTAATTATTAAATTTCAAAGCTTCTTTTTTATATGCCTCACACACTGTCTTAGAATTTCATTTACACTACTTAATATTCGTCCTCTGTCAATTAAACATTTCATCAATCCTATTTTCACTCACTTACCCCTGGATGATTGGAAGTCCAAGTATCTGTTTCAATGTGTGAGTTTCCAGGAAAAACACCAGTGTGTATTTGACTTCCCATCTTCTTTCCTTTTTACACTACAATCTAACATTGGAAGTTCCCCTTCCTTCTTGACTTTCCAATTCATAAGTGAGTTGAATTGTCTCTACCTTTATCCATATCCTATATACTAGAACAGTGAATGTGTCATCCACATACCTCCAACATACTTTTCGGGTGAGCTGAACATTTTAATCGTTATGTTTTCCCACCTATCCGTGAATATATCTGCTACAACCAGGGATATTGGTGACCTCGTGGAAACTCACTCAGTTTGTTTGCATATTATCCCATAGAATTTAAATACTGTGGAAGTCAGACATAGCTAGCTCCACTCCCAGAATTTTGTCCTCAAGTGGAACTTCCGTCATAACTTCGAGTTCTTGGTCAGAAATGGGTCTGTTTCTAACTGCCTCTACAGCCATATTCATTGGTATACGTGTATGTAAACTGACCATGTCAAAACTAACCACCTTATCTTGATTATCTAATTTTAAATTATCTTCTGTTTGTTTTAGTTCATAAGAATTTCTTAGTCTAGATTTCGAGTGGCGTTTAAGGGGATTTAATTTCATGGCTAAATATGTAGATGATACATTAGTAGGCGAATATCTAAAATCAACTATAGGTCTAAAAGGGTATCCTGCCTGACTTATGAACATTTACAGCAGCATACATCCTACAGAGGTTATTAGTTTCGGGCATTAAATGTAACCATTTAGACTCACCTAGAAACGTCTTCATTCGACGTTTATGGTCCGCTGTGGATTTCTCAATCTTATTCATAACGGTGTATATTGATTTCCTAATTTCCCCATATAGTCTTGTTTGTTTGCGAGTATTCACCCTGTCCAAGTAGTCTGATTTGTTCAATACTACCGTTGCGTCTCCTTTGTCTGACTTTGTGATCACTGTATCCTTGTTATTCTCGAGGTGTTTGAGGGCTTATATTTCCGGTTATGTCAGGTTAGGCTTTCCATGCGTTTGTCGTTTTAATGTTAGTGCACATTATTCCCGTACTTTGTCAGTCGTTGTTTTGTCTATTGCACTAAGTGCCATTTCTATTTTAGGGATGACATCCTCAGCTTTCAGCTGTCTACCGCTAAATTAAAATGTATTCCTTTTTCTAATACACTTATCGCTGTAGAACTTAATATATGTGCTGAGATGTTGATAACCCACTTTGTTTTATCGATCGCTGTTGACTTTAGATTGTTGATTTCATCGTTCTGAGATGAAGATTTCTCCTCTAATAATTTGTTGAACTTTTTGATTTGAGTATTTTTTGACTTTTCGGAAGTCGGTGACTTTCCATTACTAGAGGATTGACTGTTATAAGATCATAATCTACATTCGTAACTAACTATTCCCTTCAGCATTTGCTTAAATTGCTGAATTTCATATCTGATATGTTGCAGCTTTTAAACCATTCTGTGGATTTCTTCTTTTAGGCTTAATTTTTGTAGACTTTCTATTCTCCTCCAAACTCTGTCCGTCGGAATTGAAGCACGTAGACGTAGGTATTTAGGAATGATTTCCTTTGTCAAGCATCCAATGTTCGATATAAGGTGGTTTTCATATCTTCCTTCAGTTTGCGAAGGTCAAATGAGTTTTCTGACCAGCCTTCGTACAGGAAGACCAAAAGTCATATTAATACATGTGTAAAATTTGGGCACCGTGGTAGTCAGTAATTACATATTAGTTAGTTTATCAGATGCATCACGCTGTGAGACAGTGAGATATAGTGAAAAAGAACCTTGATTTATCGAATCAACTGCAAATACGTGTAACAGGAATGATTCAACATCTCTCCAGTTAAACATCTGAAAAATTCCACAACACCAAAAACGACAACTAGGAGAGAAGAGAGAAAACTTTCAGAGTGAAGTTTCGTAGTCGAAGTCGTGTGATTCTAATTGATATGATTATGAACCACGATAAATTTTGTTCGAAACTGTGTCATCCAATACAAAACACTGTTTCACTGCTTGATACACCTGGTAAACAAACGAATTTGTAACATCCTCTGGATGGATGAATACGATTAATTACGGCATAATACAACAACCTACTTCCATTGCATGCATAATCACGTTTCATATGGATAAAGAATGGAAATTGTGTCATTACTACTAATATGACTGTAGTGACACACAAATGCACACGTAGTTCACCTCTTCTAATATCTATTTAACCTGTGTTTAGAACCATTTAGTTTATCTGTTGTCACATGTTCTAAGTATATGACCTAACTTCATACAAGAGTATAAATTGGTTGACGATAGATGCCCTTTCACGTTTTCGAAAGCCAGATGATACTAACTCATAAGTTATTGATTGTGCTCACTGGTTTCGCTGTCTCAACTCTGCAAACAACGATCAATACAACTGAAATATACACCAGTACTACTGAGGAGTACTCCGACTCATCTGAAACCTACGCCAATACAACCACCAAAGCACCACACAACGATTCCCTTACAGCACAATTGAATTCACACTTACTACAAGGTCTGTATTTACAACTTCAGTGTCTTCGATTGTACAGTGAAGTGAATCGGAGAGGTTATTGGTCTGATATGTGCGACAGTAATGAAGCCCTATCACCATTGCAAGTGTGGAGTACAGGATCATTGTGCACACCAGGATATCAGCTGCACGGTAGATCGAGCTATTGGTTGATATATGAGTAAGTTTGCACAGTTGTGATTATGTTAACTTTAATGTGAGAATATGATCATTTCCTTCGAGTAGATTATTTGATGATAGTGTAAGGTGATTGTCATCCTTGTCACCAAGTATGCACCTAGTTATAATATTTCATATGAGCTTATAATGAGGAAACTGCTTCAGCACATCTGAGTCCCAGAGAGCTTCACCAACCTCGTTCAACAGCTATATGGTGACGATGCGAACCATGAGTACGAGTACACAGTCTCACATTGGACCAACAAGAGGACTTCGGAGCACTATATATATGTCTAAATATCACACAAACTCAAGGAACTACAGGTGAAATAAGGCAAGTGGGATGAACAGGCTGGAGGTGAAAACTTGACATGCTTGAAATTCTCATCAATAGTCGCCTTAGCCTTCTCTCGATATCGAAGATAAGATGGCGAGAAGACATGAGCAACAAAGAGCTCTGAAAATAAACCACAGACGGAGCTATTACCCACAATATATTTGGAGGAAAACTGAGTTGGATTGGACACAGGCTAATAAGACGATTGACTGGAATGGTGGGTTCGGTGACGTCTAGGGTAACATAGTGTAGATGACAGGGGACTAACAAAGAGAGAGTTGAAGACCACCGAAGAAAACAGCGTGTTTTGCAGATAGGGTGATGAAGCTGTTGGCTCCACTTGGAAAATAACGGAATAATTATAACTCCCAGGCTTTTATATTTACTTGATTGAACACCTCCTGACACTAGATGATTTTTCGAGCAACGTTTATTACCTGGCATCTTTTTTTTATTACAGCTTGATTCCACACTGTATTTTTGGTACAAGTATGGAATTTTCAGCATGGATATCGGTAGCCCAAATTTTTCAAGCCGACCATAGATATCAATTCTGCATCGGAAGGGGATCGAATCTCGGACCATGTGTATGGTCGGCGAGAGTCCTGATCACTGTGCCAACGACGCACATTACTGGATGCTGATATTATAGGCGTAGTTGTTGTTCTTCTTCATTATTGTATATTATGAAGTAATCTAGAAACAGGCAAGTTTAAAACAAGCAGGATTCAATGAATTCATCACATTTCGTCAGAACGCGTCAGCTTAATACTCCACGTACACGGTTATATACACTTTTGAAATTACATTGGGAGATATAAGACTGAAGCACAAATAGACTACACTGAATTAGTCATGCAGAAAGACAGGTGAGAATGTTTTTTTTTTCAGGTCACATTCAAATAGATAAAGGGAGAGGGATTTGAGAGATTAAAACTGATGACTTGACAGTGTCGATATCATGTCCTTAGTTCACAAGATGTTTTGTTATTGAGGATTCTGGCACTCTCATCTCTGTTATTTTCAACCATTTCGGCAAGTGCCCCATCATGCGAGGAGACAATCAATTTTCTGTGCGACCTAGGTATTTGCTTCCACAAACACACTAATCAAATTGATATACCCAGTTTGAAGCGTCGAGGACTGGCGACTCGTCTTTCTCAGACTGTTGAAGCACTCGCTTAGTGGTCCTAGGTAAAACAAGTTTTGCAGCATAATACGTTCTCTTGAAAGCTTTGTTGAGTCTTCGTTTGACTAATTCTTGTATATCAACTCCTTTGAATGGCAAACTGATATAGACAGGTTTCTTCGGAACTGTTTGGATTGTTTTGCAGAGGGTGATTTCTTTAGAGTATTTATTAATGAATTTCTCAGAATATCCATTCTTAGATAAAATATCCTTCAAAGTTTTTATTTCATCCTCAATTGTACTCTCAGAACCAATTTTCGTGCTTTATTGGATAGTGTTCTTTTATATTGGATTGGAACAAAGCTCTTGAAATGCATACATTGTTCTGTCCATAAAGACTTTCTAAATACGCATCTTTCGATTGTGTCATCATTCATTTTTACTAGAAAAACCTCTTGGAATTCAATAGTATCGTTTTCCTCGTGTTCTACTGTGAAATTGAGATTTGGATGCCATCAGTTGAACTTTATCAACATGTCTTCGACTTTTGATCTGTTTCCACAGACAATAAAAATGTCATCAACATATCTTAGGTATACATCCGTTTCCTGTATATGTTGCTGCAAGGAACCAGTTTCTAGGCCTGACAAGAATAAGTCAGCGAAAAGTGATCCCAAAGAGCTTCCCATTACGACACCATCAACTTGACGGAATAGACGCCCATAGAATTGGAATTGGAGATTCTTAGTGCATAAAAGTAACAATTTCCTCAATTCCAATGTTGGAATGGAAATGTCTTCAGCTTCTTTACATATGATGTCGATAGTCTCAACGACTGGCACATTTGTGAATAGACAGGTAACATCGAAAGAGAAATCTTTGCTTTGCTTGACAAACAGAAATGAATCAGAGGCTATATACGTTCCGAAACGTTTTCTCAAGGGCTTAAACAATTCACATAGCCACTGTGCTAATTTGTGGTATGGTGAGTTTATCATTGAGATATAGGTGTTAGCGGTGCTCCTGGTTTGTGTGTCTTAACGCGTCCGTATAATTTTGGGATTTGTCAGCCAATCGGTTTGATATTCCCAAATGTATTTTCATCAATGTATTTCTTCTGTTTGAAGAGATGTCGTAGATTCTGCACAATTTTCTTTTCGGTCGATAACGTTTGATCTTTTTCATGATTATCCAATTTGAATTTAGATTCATCAGAGAGAATTTGAGGCATTCTCTCGATATAATCTTTCATATTCATTAATAGCTGCACTTTGTCCTTTATCAGCTTGTAAAATAACAAGCCTTGTGTAGTTCGAGTTTATCAACCACATCTATGTATACAAAAGGAGATGGTCGCCACCCTAAATCTACCATGGTAATACGTCTTAAATATTATTCTTTATTCATTTAAAACTATGCTTTATCAGTAGGATTATCTTAACTCACTTCAACACTATTATTATTATTATTATAACCATTACTATTGATATTACTCTGTTTACAATTCTTGTTATATTCTCTAATGTCTAATTGTTTATCTATGTGGTGTAATTGAAGAGTAATGCATTTTATTTAAATTTTGATCTCTCATACTCTCCCTACCCTTATCTATTTGAACATGACCTGGAAAACATTCACACACTCGTCTTTCTGCATGACTACTTCAATGTAGTTTACTTGTGTTTATTATTAGTCTTATATCTCCCAATGTAATTTCAAAAGTGTATATAACCGTGTATGTAGAGTATTCAGCTGACGAGTTCTACCAAAATATGATGAATTCATTGAATCCTGCTTCATTAACCTTTGTTTTGTTTTTTATGTTCATGTCGGGAAATACATATTTCTGCAGAGCGAAGTGTCAACTTAGCCTTTTGTTATATTATTATCTCTGTGATTTCACCAGATGAATTCAGTCTCCCCCAGTGTAATATAGTCGATGTTGCAATTCGTTTTCCGAACGGTATTCACATTCACTTATGTTTCCTCTTTTCATACAGATACAATAACTTCCGTGGTCGGTATCTTTTGCTTAGTCCTGATATGTGCATCTATAATGTTCACCGCTATGGCATACGAACAACTAGCTCTATTCTCAAATGCGTTCAAATTAATCCTTACTATTCTTCTCTCTACTGTGAATATCCACCACAACCATGGAGACAATCTAGTGGGCTATCAGAGAATCCTCCAAGTCAACTACCAAACGGTGAACAAGCATCTTACAAATCCAGTTCGTCTCAGGAAACACTAATGCAGAATGTCGATCTGTCCGATCTACAACAATCCAGTTTGAATGGGAATGATTCTTGATTATCAATTATTTATGGTGGAGTAGATTATTTTACCAGGAATAAATCTTTGTTACTCTTGATCTTTTACACAGTGATATACCGATTGACTGCACTGAAATTCAGGAATACCAAACACACTGATCCAGCCTTTTTTAGGATCAGAACTGCACACTATATCATGTCGTGAGTTAACCATTCGGGTGCTCTCTCTCTCTCTGTTAGATCCTATAACTATGTGAATGCTGATGATAACACTTAATATTTAGGGCTGAGCTAGGTGAAGCAGGAGTGAAACGTGGAACCTGCTAGTTGGAAGTTGGAATGCTTTAGCCAATAAACCATATTCCCGCTTAGATATAAGCGTTATCTACTGAACATTATTGGAGAGCAGATTCGTCACAGTTTCAGACTCTTCACCCCCACCGATAGTCAAATCTAATATCTTTAGTATTAAAAGACAACTCTACTAACCAATCAAGCGTTGAACTTCTGATGAAATCCTTCAGTAGTTTAGGATTATCATAAGTATTATCTAACGGCTAATTAATAGAGTCTACTCTCCTATTTCCTGAGATTATTTGAAGAATGTTATTTAGGACATTGAAGAAGATAAGTATTATTACTTCAATAAATAATGTATTCTGAGAAGATGGTAAATTGCCTCGATATGCAAGTAAAATTTACGCCTTATAGTGAAAATATTATCGGTGAAATATGTAAAGTAATTTAGTCTGAGGAGAACAGAAGCAAAGGCCTATCTTCGATTTACTGAGCACATATCAGAAAGTATGCGATGAAGGGGAAGCAACAGGTTGAACAGCTAAGTCATAGGACATCTCGTTGACACAGAAAATGAAGTGGAAACATTGGATTCCTTCAAAATAATAAACAAACAAGCGAGCAAACAGGCAGGCAGGCAAACTCAAGTATTTTGAGATTCAAAGATGTCATTTTTAACAAATGGTTAGGAGCTGACTTATGTGGTGAAATAGAAGCTGCAGTGAGTCATTCTCTAGTCTTTGTTAATGGTAACTTTTCGCATAATCTTTTATTCAGTGTAGATGCTGATTTCTCTTCATTTTTGCTACATCGTCACTTATTAAACGTTACGCGTGGTATGTCTGTTATCTAAATAAATAAGCTTGAATGACGGTATGTTTTGTTTTCATATTCTACTTGCTCATTACTACTTCTCTTGTGGCTCATACAGTCGTATAATCTGTGTACCTGTATATCTTTATGCTACTCCTCCTCTTCACATTTGTTTTTATTTCGTAACAATCAACCTCATTACCTTCTCAATTATCGTTCGACATTTGAGTGACGGGATCTGAACTTCGCCGATGATATATGTCTGATTTCCCACAAACTGGAAGATATGCAAAGGAAAAGCAACAAGTTGGCAGAAGAAGCATCAAAGATAGGACTTCCTCCAGGTGAACATAGAGAAAACAGAGGTGATGAAGATTCCTGGCCAACAACACCAACAGCAACAATAACATACAGCAAATAACAATCAGCCAGTATGAATGGGAGGAACCTGAAAGAAACAACCTCCTTTACCTACCCACCTACCTGGGAAGCATCGGTTCAACCTCAGGCGAATAAAACTGACGAGGATATCAAAGAAAGAATCGGAGGAGCAAGACAGGCTTTCACTACTCTCAAGTCTGTGTGGAGGTCAACAGCGCTCAACATTAAAAATAAGATCCGGATTTTCAACTCCAATGTAAAGTCAGTGCTACTATACGGATCAGAGACTTGCACCGAGTGTCGTAAAGAGCATCTCAAACTACAGACCTTCATTAACAGTTGTCTTCGCTCAGTACTACTCAAGATCAGATGGCCGGCCAGAAAAGATCAGCAACAGGGAGGGTTCTCCGGGAGCGAACCAACCCAGTGGGAACCGATTGTGAAACAAACAGGCAGGAAGAAATGGAGATGGATTGGCTGGTCATACTCTGTGAAAACAAATCATCAAGTGACATCACTAGACAAGCCATTGCTCGAGTGGAACCCGAAAGGGAAGCGGCGAGTTGGTCGTTCAAGGGTGACTTGGAGGAGGTGATGTGAAGAGGAGATGAAAGCATGTGGGCAGACCTAGAGCCAGGTGAAAACGCTGACAGAAAACCGAACGCAATGGAGACGCGCGGCTGAATCCCTATGTTCCTCTAGGAATTAAAGGATATAATAATAATAATAATTTGAGTGAGAAAGAAAATGAAAGATATTTCAGTGAAGAGGATTTTCACAGGCTGTACAATCTCATCTTTACATTTCAGCATACAGTAGTCACTCAGTAAAAGCCAATTAGAATTATATCAGAAAATGTGTATTGGGGAGCAAGTACAAAATAGAATATTGGTTACCACTCAGAATATATGTGGTCAACACGAACGTGAGATAAAATGAGATACAGTAATTCAGTGATGTGTGTAGAGGTGGTGAACAAGAGTAGAGGTTTCGAGAGTGAGCGTAATCACCGGTATATTGGAGACAGTTAGAAGACTGCATGAAAATAAACCAGCCAACAAATAGGATAAACTAGACGTGAATTCAAGGATGAGAAGTAAGAATGATAATTATAACGACAGTGTTGATGATTGATTAACTAATAACGATGGTGTTGTATAAACAAACTCAGAATTAATATTAGTGAACGATTATCAGACGGTAACGAATTTAGTGAAGTTGAATGGACAGGATTGTGTAAATATAATAAGAAGTTTGAGAACCATTACGTAAACCTGAGATAGTGTATATTTTTTATTTTTGATTACAGCTTGATTCCACACTGTATTTTTGGTACAAGTATGGAATTTTCAGCATGGATATCGGTAGCCCAAATTTTGCACGCCGACCATAGATACCAGGTGTGCGTCGGCAGGGGATCAAACCTCGAACCATTTGTATGGTCGGCGAGAGTCCTAACCACTTTGCCACCGACGCACAATACAATGAGAAATATCATGAGGTTGGGAATGTCTTGATGAAAACTTTTGTCGATGAAAGAAGGAAAGAAATGGGATATGAATTTAAAGTGCAAGCGCTTATGGAAGATGTTCTGATCTCAATGTGGATCGATATAAGCGTGGCGGTTGAATATACTTCTCTCGGATACAGGTGTTAGGTCTTTTGGTATTGACTGTTACCGCTTCAGTTACTGAAAGACGAAGACACAGTTGAGTGGTCGTAAAGAGATTATGTGAAACACGGTGGATAACGGAGATTTGTGCATGTCCATTTCGTTTTAATGCAAGTTTCAATCTATGCATTTATTCCTTAACAAATTCGCTAGAACATATGCAGTTTATTCTGTAATTGAGGCACTTAACTGAGTCCTTTTTCTACTGATGCAGTTGCAGCTATTTATTTTTATTTTTTTATTTATTTTTTTTTATTTTATTTTATTTTATTTTTTTTTGGTTACAGCTTGATTCCACACCGTATTTTTGGTACAAGTGTGGAATTTTCAGCGTGGATATCGGTAGCCCAAAATTCGCAGGCCAACCATAGATATCAGGTGTGCGTCGGCGTGGGCTCGAACCCCGGACCATGTGGATGGTCGGCGAGAGTCCTAACCACTGTGCCACCGACGTGTGATATTGTGCTAAGATTTATCATTAGGATGTCACGAAAGGTTCGTTGGCAGAAAAAAAGTCAAATAGTAGGGAAATGGATTTGATATCAGAGAGGGTGAATGACACGTTGATGTGGGGAGAGAGAGAGAGAGAGGTGTGAAAGGAACTCAAAGAAACACAATGTTAATGCGAGAAATAGCCCTACACTGAAGATTTGAAGATAAGGTGTATACAATTTCCCTATAGAGAGATAAAAATATTCCAAATAAAGATTTCTTTACCAAGTGTCTCGTCTTCTGCAGTTACATATAAAAAGGAATGTAACGATCAGTCTGAGTCTTCTTTCTAGTCAAGTTTCTTTCCAGATATCCGTTCAGATTCCTGATGAGAAGGTTGTCTAAGAAAGGTGTACTGTTGTTTTTCTTACTGAGAGCATTCAAAAGCTCCTGTCTATTAACACTGCGGTCGCAGACAATCAAGTTGCCATCTAGGTATCAATGATAATAGTCAAGCTCATTACTCGTCTCTCTGAGTGGACCATTTTAAAGTTTTGTCAAGAAAATACCAATTGGCAAAGGACACAAAGATGAGCCTTTTGCAACTCCATCACCTACTCTATGAAAATCATTGTTCAACATAAACTGGACATTCATCGTACATTCCAAAAGTAATTCTTTGACGTTTTCAAGTTGTATTCCTCCACCTATCTTTCGTTCTGTTACTCGGTCACACAAGCAGTTAAGTATTTCGAGCGATTAGGTTATGTTGGCAGATAATGATGCTTCATTCAGTGACATCCTTTAATTTCCGATCACATTCAGGCTTCTGATAAATTCTACAAAGCTGAATACGTCTTTTACCCTGAACTCCACCAGTTCATCATGCAAAGGTCCAAATGCTTTTACTAGCCAGTTCATTGTACAGTGATAGGGCGATTGACACATTTCTAGAATTGAAGGTAACTGCACTGCATTCTTGTTCGAGAACTGAGCTGGTAGTCATGTGTCTTGAATTGTCTTCTTGATAAGCATGCTAGATAACGTTCAGATAGGCGTTCGAAAAGTATGAGGCGAATATAACTAGCTGCTCAGATGAGAATACAAAGAGTTTCTAAACTAAATATTTGTTGGAACTGTAATAAAACTATTAACTTTCCTTATTCAGGTAGTAATCCATTGATGAAAAATCAAGGCAAATAAAATGGGTCCATTTTAAATTGCTCCATGCGTTATAATTCCTACATTCAAACCATTTAAGAAGTATTCGCCTATGAAGTTAGAGAGATTAATATCCCCATTGATAGTGCTAATTTTTTTAGCCATTAACCAGCATAATTTTTGTCATTCCGCCTGTACTGAGGAAGTGATTGTCTTGTGAAGATAATCACTCAGCTTTCCCTGTGATAGTTACAGGTTATTGTGCATTTCATGTACTTGGG